GGGGCGAGCTTCCCTGCAGGCTTTCACAGCTGCTGGCCCCGTCGTGCAGCGGGTCCGGCACCAGCCCGCCCCAGGGCCGGGCACGGCCTGAGTTTTAATAGGGAACAAACTCCGTTTGAAAGAGAATGGCGTTTTTCTGCAAGACTCCTGTGTGTGCATTTTCCAGCGTTCAGTTAACTAGCGTCTTCGTTCTTTTTCTACTTTTATTTTCAGGTGTGGAAATGTTAACTTTGCCAGAAGAACAAGCTGTAACAGATGTGGACGAGGTGAGTATCTCATGATATGTCTTGTTCTCTCAATCTGTTTCTGCCTTTTTAAAAGATAAGAATATTAAATCTTTTGTAATTAGTCATAAAGCAAGATGTTTGAGAACTGTTTGGTTTTATGATTTTTTTTTCTTTTCCAGAAAAAACGACAGAAGCCAAAATGATGAAAGCTGGAGGGACTGAAATAGGAAAGACACTTGCTGAAAAGAGTCGTGGCCTCTTCAGTGCTAACGACTGGCAGTGTAAAACGTACGCCCTTTTAAAAAACGCAGAGTGTTCTCTTAGAGCCACATAACACCTCTACAATACGATACTTAATTTTGTCAGTATAAATTTGTTTGTACTGAAGAGAGAAGAGTGATCAAAACACAGCTATTCCACTAGTAGTGTTTTGCTGTGAGGACAGCATTCATTTTTGTTTGCTGGACAGCAGTTACTTAATTAACGTGACTGGAAAAAGATTTTACAAAATCAAGATTAGACAGGTAAAATTCATGCTTTTCTTTGATAAGCCAAGGCACATCTCAAGCTCGGAGGAACTGTGTAGATGGAAATCACACCTTCACTGCAGTGTCATATTTTATTGTTAACATTCACTAAATGTTTAATGAGTGAAGTGTAGCACATAGTTAAACTCTTAGATGTTTCTCTAAGCCATCAATGGAGAATATTAAGTTCTAAATTAAAAAAGGACTATTTTAATAAAATGCTTTGATTTTTGAAAGGTGCTTTCAGATTTTCTGGAGCACTTTTAAGGATTTCAGGTTTTACTGATTGAGTAAGCTGTCTGACCAGTGGAACCTGGATTTTTGGGTTTTTTTTTTCTGTCAGCGCTTAGCTGTGTTCAGCCTGTTCTGTTTCTGTTTGCGCCGTTCTGCAGCACGGGACGGGCAGATTTCCTGGGCAGTGCCGTGGGTCCCAGAGTCAGAGGGAACCCACTTGACGGCACACCTCAGGATTGTCGTGACTTTCCAAGTTCATAGCTAGGCTGTGTCTCATATTTTCCTCTCTGGGACTGAGCAGCATCCTGAGGATAGCATTACAGATGGATGAAGTATGAGTGGCCTTGTAGGACGCTGCAAGATAGAAATGCAGTAATGGAAGCATATGACTGTAGCTGTGCACTGGTGGATGATGACAACTGCTTTTAAGCGTTATTCCCATGGTAGTTGCTTCGTTAACTCCTCTGAACTGTGAATGCCGCTAGTGGAGAGTAATGAGGAATGCTTTTTGTGTAGCCTTACTTCTGTTAACTTGTCTGCCTACCTGCCTGATAATTTTACTACTCTCCCCTTGATTTGTCCAGTATGGTCATCTTCCTGTCGTCCTCGTGAAATACCCATAGGTTCTCTTGCGGTTCTTTGTGTCTCGGTGACTGTTGACCTTGGAGTTAATTGTGTTGTACTAGTGACTGCAGATCACTGCTAAAACTTGGCAAATACATTCTTATGGGTTTTTTTTTTAAATTGTTGCCTCAACACTTCAGCTTTTTCATTTGAAATAAGATGTTTCTTATTTCTGTTTTGTCCTCTTGCCTCTGAAGATGTGGTAACGTGAACTGGGCCAGAAGATCAGAATGTAATATGTGTAATACTCCAAAGTACGCTAAACTGGAGGAAAGGACAGGTAAGATGTATATGGTTTTAAAATACTCAAATTACTGTAAGAAAACTTCTTTTTATAAATCACAGTTATTTAATTAAAGGGATTGTTTCCGCAGCAGAACTAGCAAAGTTGAATGATCTTCCATATGTAAATAGATCTGTAGGTTCTTGGACTTTTAGTTAAACCATAAGTATCTGATGGTTTCATTTGGAAAGTCAGTGAACATTCAGCTTAAACGGCCTCTGTATTTGATTTTGGTACTAAGATGTTTGGAAGGAGTAATGCAATATTTTATTAAACTCCAAAAGGTCTAGTGTGTATATGCAGTGTCCATCTGCAGAGGACTCGGCAGTCACAAGAACAGTGTTTGAAGGCTGTATGGATTAGACTCTTATCTCTTAATGAGGTTGGAGGTTTGGTCACACTGTGACGCATTTTAAGTTCCTCCTGCATTAACAATGAACCCAGTGGTAACTAGAACAGAGGATATCCTTACAGTGCGGTCGTAACTATTTATACTGTTACCACTGCAAATGGGATCAGGCAGAGAATTTGATGAATAGCGTGTAACACTAATGCATATAAAAAAAGCATGGAGAAGAGCACAGAGCTTATTATTCAAAAATTTTTTTTAATACTCTTACAATATTAAAGAATATTAAAGAGTAATTTTATCTCATATAAGGTTTCATATAATTAAATTATCTTTAATATTTAATTAATTTTTCAAGTTCTGGTGTCCTTCAAGGTAAATTTGCAGTCATCTGCGGGACACCTAGCATGTTGCACATGCTTGCAGTAAATTAAGAAGTTGGCTGAAATTAAAATGAGCCATTGAAGTTTCCCACTCACATAAGTAGAAAGATTCTTAAGGCAAATCGTGGCAGTTGTACTATTCAGTGCAACTATAGGATGCTTTTATTCCTATTGCTCCCTGAGGATATATATACACATATGACTTTATGTCAAGAATAATTGCAATATGGGGGCAGACTGGCATGCCCAGAAGCCACCAGAGGGGCTGCATGCACACGGGACCTGGCTGTGGCAAAGAGGCTGCAGCAACACCAGGAGCTGGGGAAGCTGTTAGCAAGTATTGCCCTCACCTCAAGTGTCATAGCCTGCTTTCCCACGTCAGCTGCTGGCTGCTCTCAGAGGTGGGGGTTTCGTCTTGAAGGACAGTAGCCTTTATTCTAGCCCCTTGGAGACGTTCTTGTGTTTATCCACACCAAGGCAGTTGTTAGGTGCTGCAGCCGCCCCCAGAGCTCTTCTGGGAAGCTGGTTGCCCAGCACAGCTGTAATCCTGAAATTTTTCTTCTAAAAATGTTTTTCCCCATTCTTTTAAACTCTATTGCTTCTGTGGTGTTAGTCTTAATTCATTTTCTGAATTAGGTTTCTGAGGGACCATGTTTAACAAATGTGTGTAGGAACAATTCATGTTCCTCTTGAGATCATAAAATATTCTTATGGCATATATTTATAAATCCGCTGAAGGCTTCCAGAACTTCTATTAAAGTTTAGAATAAACTTTGTGCTTAATGTAGCTGAATTTGGTGCAGCTCCAGATACTGTCTTGTTTTACTCCTTTTTAAAGGATACGGAGGAGGATTTAATGAACGAGAGAATGTTGAATATATAGAACGCGAAGAATCAGATGGGGAGTATGATGAGGTAAGATCAGGTATATATATTACACTGGAGAGATGCGTATTGTGTGATTTGTGTTAAGGATACATAACGTTTGCATTTGGTTTCCTTCCAGGGAAAAGCGCTAGTCAGAAATACATTATGATACATCTCTTTGTCAAATGTTCAAGTGTGAAAGTCTTGAACTGAAAGTGGATGCATCTGTTTTTGGCTTTTTGGGGCTTAAAAACTAAGAATGAGTTCAAATTAAACTGGTACCATCTGAATTCGTTAAACTTCTTACGGAGCTGGCTTCAGGGTCATGCATGTTGTTTTCACCCAGATGTTCAACATTGTTTTATAAAGATATCCCAGAGACACGAATATAAAATACTCTCTTGCTAAATCCAGATTTCCATTCATCTTGTCTGTGGGTACTAATTGTATCGAAGACAAGCATCTCTTTAGAAAGTTTCTTGTTGCTAATTGATGTTTCATATACCTCTCCTTCCCTTTGAGCAATGCCTTATTTGAAATTGATGTGTATTTATTTTCTCATAGAAGTTTTACCAAAAAATACAGTTGGAAATTACTTTTGATTAAATCGTATTCTAATGGAATAAAATGTCTTAGTTTGGACGCAAAAAGAAAAAGTATAGAGGGAAGCCGGTTGGTCCTGCGTCTATCCTGAAGGAAGTTGAAGATAAGGAATCTGAAGGGGAAGATGAGGAGGATGAGGATGAAGATCTCTCCAAATATAAATTGGATGAGGTAGCGTGTTTTGGGTTTTTTTTCTGGCAATTATTTTTTAATTATTACTACAGTGCTGTTTAGTATTAGTAGGTAAGGTTTGGTTTGTATTCTTAGCTGCCTTTACAGCAATGTAGAGGAGTAGCTATCAGAATAATGGTGCCTACAACTTCTGTAAAGTATGTGCACAACCTTTGTTTTGTTCTAAATACCTGCATTTGAAGATGTATAATTTTTTTTTTAAACCATAAAAAAGTATAAGTTTATCTGAGATCAGAATCAAAAATTTTGAGATCTTTATTTTGAACCTTTATGTATGGCTACCTTATAAAGGGAATGCTTTTGAATTTTATTCTTAACCTTTTGAAACCATGTCAGATTTGTTTTTTATAAAATGGAATAAAATATTCAGAGACTTTTTTTAATCTTTCCTGAAATACATGATCATCATATATTGGATTGTCCACATCCTTGCACAGCAGTCCCACAGAGACATGCATATATGCTTATTTTTAACATAGCAGTCTCCAAATTCTGCATATGAAACATGTCTCTGCAGAATTATGCTATGATATAGATGTTGAGTCTAAAAATTCTTCCAGGCGCTCATTTAAAGTAACAGGTAAAAATGTCTGTATATTCAGTAACTTCATTAAATAACAGAAAATGGGACTTCAGATGGGGTTTTTGCAGGCTTTTTAATAGTTTGCTTTGAAACACAAATTTTCAGTCAATCTTTTAAAATTTTTGGATCTTACTAAATGCATTAACAGTATTTTCAAAGGTTGGGGAAAAAGCACAAAATAAACTATAGAACAAATTTTAAAAACTTTAACTGAAGGAAAAAATCAAAATATTTTAAGTACTTTTTATATATCCGCATTTTTTCAGGATGAGGATGAAGATGATGCTGACCTTTCAAAATATAATCTTGATGCCAGTGAAGAAGAGGACACTAATAAGAAAAAGAAATCCAATAGGCGCAGTCGTTCTAAGTCTCGATCTTCCCACTCACGATCTTCATCGCGCTCATCCTCTCATTCAAGCTCAAGGTCTAGGTCCAGGTAAACGGGTACAGGTCAAGGGTAACACCAGGCAAAATGTCAGTATCTAACTTCTTTATTTACCTCTTTTTTTCTTGATTGCCTTACAGTTTTAGTTTAATAATGTTAACAATTTTATGTGCAGAATTTACACGGGTAGATAATGTTCTCCTGACCTTCTGTGGATCCTCTGTAGGGAGGCTTCATATGTTTTGTTGCTTGTTTTAGTAAATTTAAGTTGGTAGTTCAATTGAATCCTTCAAATAAATTCAAAAATATAACTTATTTTCAATTTTATTTTTAGGCTTGTTGGCCATATGTGATTCAATGGGTGAACCTTTTTTAGCAATGTTCAGTTGTTGAACAGAGAAGCAGAAGGCTGGTATTGTTAAAGTGGGAGGAGGTGGCAGAAGAGGGCAGTGGTGACGCAGTCCAGACAGGTTCAGTGAAAGGACAGAATGGAAAATATCCTGGAAATAAAGACAAGAAACTTGAACTTAAGTTTCATGGCAAGCGACAAAGCTTTAAGTACAGTGTCAACGTTGTCAGAATAACGCCAAAGGTTTATATTGATCCTGGGGCCACAAAAAAAGTCCACTGGGTAGATGTAAGATCTCACATTATTATTTAAATTCAGTAATATATGAACAATTCAATAAATGTTTTGTAATTATGTGGGGTAAATCATGTTGTAGCTTTTTAGCTGCCTTACAACTAATACAAGGATGATACTGATAGGAGTACTACCTCAGATTGGTACTAGCTCATAGGGTTATACATAAAGTTCAAGTTTCTTCTACTTTTCCTGGCTTTGTAACTGCACCCCTTTGCTCTCACCGCTGCGGTCACTGCCCAAATTCTTCAGACCCTCATACTAACCAGATGTCAGCCACTGTCTCTGTTTTGTCTTTCTCCCCATTGCTGTCATGCTTTTTTTTCATGCTGCCTCTTCTATGAAAAATCACGTTCTTCACAATACCTATTGTCGGCCTCCCTACTCCTTCAGATGCCTTCTTGAGACGTGTGCTTGCTGTGTGTTTCCCAGGAGGAGCACAAAGTGAATAATAGTGACTAAGCTGACCGGCTGTAAGCAATTTTTGTAAACCAAGTGAGCTGTGGAGCAAGATCTTTGAGGAAGCGGCTGTGTTGTCCTGTGTGAGGATATATGCAGCCAGTATGGGCTGCCTTTGGGTGCAATTCTTAGCATTAGGTGTGGGAAGGTCAAAGAAGGCGGAAGAGCTTCATCTAGCCATAACTTTTTTTGTTAATTCACAAATGTTAAGAGCGAAGTAAAAATAGCTTGTCATAACTGAAATTCGCTAGGGATCCTTCAACTTTCTGTGAAAATTTTTGCTGCTAGCTACAGATAATTAATTGGAAATGTCAGTTGCCATTTGTGGATACTTCTTTGTGCTTTTAAAAAAGGTTTAAATATATTTTCTAGTTAGCATGTGTTCACGCTGCTTTTCTTTTGTGCAATAAAATGGAAAGACACGGTAACAATATAAATTGAGAGATTGACAGCATGTATAATAATATTTTTCCTGAAAAGATTATTAGAATTTGATTGCAATGCCTTCTTCTTACAATGGTTACTGCAAGTCCACTACCTTTTTTACATATCTTTTGTGGTTTGTGCTTTAAAGAAAATCCATCAACATGAAAAACTTGAAAATAATTTCAACTAGTTACAAGTAGTGCTAGACATGTCTGCATTTCAGCCAAAAATTAACTACTATTTAATTTTTAATGCAGAGGAAAATCTTTCTGAAAACTTGAAACTTCTCACACAATGCTTGTGAGAACTGACTTGGGGAAAATTTGAGCTAGCTAGTCCTCATACTCCTACCTACTTTGCTTTTCAAAGAAACTGATGGTTTTCAAGTTAAGGCACAAATGAAAAGTTAAGGCATTGATTTCATGAAATAGCTAATAGATACGCAGTTGTTTCATTTTGTCAAATAACTGCAATCCTGTTTAATTTTTGTGCTTTGTTTTAAGAAACGTAATAAAAAACTGACTATACATTTTTTTAATGTGCCATCTTACTATGTTAAAGTTTCTGTTTTAAAATGTACTATGGTGATGCTGGGGGAGGAGGAGGAATTTGTCACTTCTTTAGTGACTCTAGGCCAAATGCATCGATGCATCGTTCTCTCTACTGCTAACAGTAGCAGTTATTCTGTTAAATACAAGTCAGACGCTGGAAAAAAATCTTCCATGTTGTTTCAGGTCCCATTCAAGAAGTTCTTCCAGTTCCAGATCAAGATCTCGCTCCAGTTCCAGAGAACACTCTAGATCTCGTGGGTCGAAATCAAGGTGAATGAGGTAGCACTCTCTCCTTGCAGAGAGAAAAAAGGGCAGAAGAACCAACCGCTTGTTGATTTCATCATAAAATTATGCCAGTCAAAAAACATTAACTCATTTTTTTATCTTGGAAGTCAGAATTCCTGGGGTCTCTGCACAAGGTTGTTACCACTACAGATGTATTTCTTGAGAATGCAAGGTTTTGGTTGAAGAGTTTAAGTCTGATCTAAGCTAGACAAGTGGACGCCACAGATCTTCACTTTGAAGGAAGAAGAATTTGAATGCATGTTTACTTTCTTCAGTAATTTTTGCTGTTTTTACTGTTTCCGCTTTGGCTACTTGATGTGGAAGAACATTAGAAAATACGCTTTGCTCCTGTTTTTATGTTTATTGATAACTTATTTAACTTATCTAACTTCCACTAGATAGTGCTGCCATTATCTTTAAAAATGTGGGGGGCATGTATAAAAATGTTGATAGTAAATCATGCGAGAAGCTGACAGGAGCTTGAGCTAGCTGGTGTTTTCTGTATAGCAGCTACTGAACTGTGCAGGGAAGAGTAACAGAAGCATGTAAGTTCCTTGAGGTGTCCTTGCACAGGCATCCTGTTGGCAGGACTTTGCTTTTGCGATGGAATGAAGAAGTGTCCCATCTCCATGCATGCAGAGAATCTTAAAACTGTAAATGAGGAAGTTTGTGTTGGGAAGACCAACCACAAATGGTGCCACTGCCCTTCGGTGGCAGAAACATGCTGTGGATTATCCCGTGAGGGTCAGCGCGAGATGGAATCCATGCTTTTAGAAAGAGCACAAGGGTGCCTGTGGCCCGGCTAGATGCCGAAGTGACTCGTCAGCTGAGCTGGGTTATTTGTTTGTGCCACATGGCATCTGCCGAGTGTCCTCGGTGTATTAGCTTGTGTGAAATAGGACTGCCTTGTTATTTACAATGAGAACCCTGAAAATATTTTGCCAACAACATACACTGTGTTGGGGGTTTTTTTAATGTTTTATCCAGCTTACTAAAAAAAAATCCTGTTAGGTGTTTTTATATAATTTTGGAACTACAGTTTAGGACTTTATAGCTCTATTACTTTTTCCACAAGTGTGTGTTTTCCTTGGTTTTTTTAGGTAACCAAAGTGATTTTTGAGTGCTTGTAAGTGAAGCTGGCTCTTTCTTTTTTTTTAAATGCCAAAGTGACTGTATTCTGAGAGGTTTTTAAAAATACTTTGATTGTGGAAGGTCTCACTCTCTACCCAAATTTATTTTGAGATTTATAAATATACCTTCTCAGGGTTTTTAATATTCTAGTAAGATGAACATTACTTTTCAAATTTCCAACATGAAATATCCATTTATATGAAGTCAAACATTAAGTCAGCATCGCATCTGTGGTTTTCAAGCCATTCTGCTTTGTGAATTTAACTGCTGAGGAAGGTCCTTATATAGGCTACTTCCTGTCCCAGTCTCCCATCGCTGCTTTGTCAAAATGCACCATTCTGGTGAATGCTGGAAAGAGGTTTCCAAACCATTGGTGGTTTGTATATCAAGAAACACTATTTAGCAAATTTATTAAGAAAACTACCACGGCAGTAGAAGTCTTTATTGGCAGATAACTAAGGAGTAAGTATTAAAGCATCCACACTTACTGGACAAAACACTGATGTAACTAGAGTAGTGAGTGTTCATGAAAACTGTCTCTTTTTGTTCTTTCTTTGTTCTTTCTTTACTATACCAGAATTAAATCTAATTTATTTCTTAATCGATAAAGATCCAGCTCCAGGTCCTACAGGGGGTCTTCCACCCCAAGAAAAAGATCTTACTCAAGCTCTCGTTCGTCATCTTCCCCTGAGAGAAGCAAGAAGCGAAGTCGTTCTAGATCTTCTTCATCTGGTGATCGCAAAAAAAGACGATCGAGATCACGGTCACCCGAAAGGTTTGGGTTTATGTAGAATAAGAATGGGTGTATTTAAATGTGTGATTTTTTTTTTTTTTTTCTGAAGGACTGAGATCACTGGGAAAGAATTGAATCTGATCAGTTATTCTGATACTAAAAGTAGTTTTCTCACTCCCCCTACTCTTGCTTCCTATTAAAACTTCTGTAGTTGCTTCCCCAACCCTCCAACGAAACTTCCTCCTGCTAGGAGCATGTTCCATAGAAAGACCTAGGTCACCATCCTTTCAGTGTGTGAAAGTGTTAATGTGTACATACTGATTTATTTTCATAAGTAAATACTGCATTTAGAAATTGTATTCTACTTCCAGTTTTAAACTTATATTTTTAGTGTTAAATTCACATTCATGAGCTTAAAGTGGTTTAAAGTTATTTCTATATTCTTATAAGGCCCCTATCAGATATACTTGGCTTCCAGCTATTATAGGATACAAACTACTCAAAGTGGATGCTAAAATTAATTTCAACTTATTTCTTTGCATGCTTTCTCCATTTATATCTTACAGACGCCGCAGATCATCATCTGGATCTTCCCATTCTGGTTCCCGTACAAGTTCTAAAAAGAAATAATGTATTAAAGCTCACATTTAAAAAACAAAAACAAAAACCAATTCCAGTCAGTGCATGAGGCATTTTTAAGAAGTTGGTGTCTTACTTGGTCAGAAGTGCTAAATCTGCTAGTAGAGGTGCATGTCTGTCCTTGCTTTCTGGAAAACTGCAGCTTTGTTCATTCATGAAACAAAAAGTGAGGTAGCATTTTAAGCCATAAACCCCAGAGGAGGAGTGAAGTTTTATTATTTGAGTAAGGAGGGGGTTTATTATTTGTAAAGGCTCAGTTACTCAGTTCCTGGCTCTTTACACGTATGAGCAGGCACACATTGGATATGTTCTAATACAATTCTGCTCTTCATGTGACAATTACAGAGAAGTAACTGAGGAATATAGGAAGAACCCATGAGCTTTCTGCATCCATCCCCTGAGCTTGTTTGATGTAGCTCGTATGGGACCACAGAAGATTAGCATAGCTGTAGTGCTGGTGTTACCCATTGGATGACAGTAGTGAGTACTTAGGCCTAATTATTTTTTATTTTTCTGCATTGAAGTAAAAGTATAGATGGGTGCCCCTTTCTTTCTCTTTAGCTACGCTCAGTGCAAAATAGCTATTAAGTACCCAGTCCATCCTATGATTCTGTAGAGAGTAAATTAGACTTCATTCCTTTGAAGTGAGGGTGTTTGAGACATTGGGCACTATCTTCTCCATCGCTCGAGTCTCAGAGCTGCTGGTGCCCGTCACTAGAGGTTATTTGCTGCAGTCAGCAAAGTGCCCTTTCTGCAGTGGGTGCTGACTATGGTATTTTCACATGCGTGGATCCTGGACTCTGCGATCCTTTCTTACAAAAGGATTGTTTAGGAGCTACTCTTGAGATGGAGGAATGTGGAACTAGCTTCTTGGAATCAAGTGAAGCTTCTGCAGGCCATCTGTAAAATTCATTTTGGGCTGACTAAAATTTTCAAGGTATCTGGACTTTATTTATATTTAAAAATGAGAATAAACTGTCTAGAAAGTTCTGACATCTTAAATGTGTTCTTAATCAATCATTCTTTTTCCCTTAAACATAATTTATGGCTTAAAATGCTTTATTGAATCTGTTTTACTAGCAATATCACATTAAAACTTGGTCTCTCTTGAGCTCCGTTTGGCTAAGAAAGGTTTAAGTATCTTCAGTGCCATCACAAGGTAAGTATGTTAAGGAAAATTCTTCTTTTTAAGCAAGCAAATATATCTGCATCTATTTCAGTAGTAAAACTTCCAAACCCATATTTTACCGCTACTTTTTAAAAATGAACTGCACAAAAACAAACGGAGCAAAATTTAAAGACTACATTGTGCTTTTTTTTTTTAAGATCCTTCTTTTGGACTGGTATATAAGCAAAATGTTTTTGGTGTAGAAATATTTTGATAATCTTTTTTGCAGAAAAAAACATTCTGCATTTTCTTCTTTAATGCTTTCTTTTATATCTAATTTCAATGCTAAATGTGTGTAGATTGCACAAGAGTAGGTTAGTCTTGTAACTGTGCCTCTGACAACTTCAAAGTCCAACTACTAAATTGTAAAAATCAGATCGAATAGATGCTCTGTTGTTAGCCTTTGGTTTTTCCCTTGTGCTTTGTATTAAAATTGTTGCTGTACTTAACAGATGAAAGTTTTTTAAATTTAGCAGATGATAGGCAACAGACAAAGGAAAATTATGGTTTCATTTGGCTTAGATAAAATGTAAGGCAAAATAATTCTGTAGACAAGTGTAAATAAAACCTGTGAGTTAACTGTGCAGTGAGTGCTTTCTCTTGGGAAAAATAAGCAAATCTTTATAAGCTATGCTAACAGATTATTTTGTTGTTGTTCTCTGTTACTGCAGTGCAGGAAGGGTAGTATGTGTACTTACTGGCCATATGTATCATAAATTTTGAGATTGTTTCAGTTAAGTACTGAAAATATTTTTAGAGTTAAATAGCACATTTTAAAGGAGCTTTTACAAAACTTGAAGGTATTTTCTTCTGTATGTGTTCCGTATCTTCTTTTCAGAAAGATTTTAGAGGAAGCAGTATGTATTTAAAATAGAAGGGCACAGCGACTATGGTAGTCTTTGCATGCCTGTTAAAAATGACACAAAATACCTCTTTTTAGTTACTGGTTACTAGATTGGCAAATAGATTGGAACCAAGCTACTAGAACTAAACATGGTCTACCTCTGATAAGACGCAAAGCTAGATTAAGCTCGGGCAGTAAAAAGGTTTGGGGGGGTAGAATTATCTCCCGTGGCACAGCAGTACATTTTTTCTATTTCACTAGAAGAGATTTCCCTTGCCCTCAGTTTAGCCATTGGGGTCAGATAAATTGCTGCCTATCGAAATAAACAGGCGTTTCTGTGCAGCTTTATCAAAGATCAGTGACATTGGTCATGGCAAAGGAGGAAGTGTAGATTAGGATAAGTTTAGGGCCAGTGTGCTTTTCTAAGAAAAATTAAATGCATTCATGAGTAGTAACGTGGGTTTGCATACGCCGCCTTCTATAGTAATTGAGAACCAGAAAGTGATTCTAAATAAAAGCAGACTAGCCTTTAATTTTATATAAATTTGGCAACAGAGTAAAATCCACTGCTAAAAAATGTCTCTTTTCTTCAGATAGTGAATTAATAATAAAAAGCATTAAAATGTACACGTTGGTACCTCTTAAAACAAGACTGCTTTGTTTCCACACCATGTCACTGACTGCTGCACGCTATTGTCTGATACAGGCAGCTTTAAACACCTGGAGATTAAATAGATGCTGTGTTAGGTCTTACTTCTCAGTAACCCCCAAACTTAGATTTAGTTACAATGAACTACCTCAAGTTAGTTGTTATGCCTAGTAATCTGCAGCGTTTTCATCCTTTTCAGTGCATGAGGCATTTGCTCATTTGCCGTGGAGGCGGTAACGTTGCAGCGTGGGCTTGTGTTGAGGATGCGCAGGCCAGTGGTTACATTCAGTGGCGCTGTCGTCGGTGTCCTTGAGGGAATAATTGAGCGTAAATAACATTTCAAGAATAATGAAAAATACTAACATTGTTGAAGACAATTACTTGAAACCTTTCTAATTTCAATGTAGGACTGCTAGACAAATGCTGAAAAATAAATACCAAGTATGGCAGGATAACTTTAAATAAATAGTAATAGTGTATTATACCTGCTGCCTTCCTTTCAGGTGTTGGAAAAGGCTTCTTAAAAGTGAATTCTGAAAATCAAGAGCTGACCCGTGGGGTTTGGCATTCCCAGGATGGTACAGGGTGTGAGCAGAGGGGTTAGGAGCCCAAGTTGCATTCTCCATAACCACCACACTTGAGCTGGTAACTGTGACATTTTGCTGTTATCTGCCATTAGGAAGGACTTGTGCTCGAGTCCTTCTCAGGTCGGGTATCAGCTGAGTTACCAAGATCATAAAGTGAATATTCTTGTGCCGTATGAAAAGATACTTTAAATGGGAAAGTTTGACTCGAACCAATGGAAGTTTCAAGGGGCAGGCTAGTCCCACACATGCACCCCACCTCGGTCCCTTCTGTCATCACTGTTAATGGCAACACCTCAGGACCAGCCTGTCCTTACATCTCGTTCCTATTCGAGGAGTTTCTCTGCTAGGGCTGCTATCTCTGCTTTGACGGAATTTGGGGGAAGAAACCCCAGCTAATGTTTTTAATTAACGCCATAGTTTATTCTTGGAGCATTAATCAAAATGTATCACTGGTTATAGAATTTTCTGTCTAGGATTCCTTTGACATAAAGGATTTTTTTATTCTTTAATCAGAAAGAATGTAAGCTAATAGGGTGTTTGTTTTGGGTTGGGTTGTGTTTTTAAGAAGGAAAGCATAAGATATTTGTGCAAACTCGACCAAAATTTGGACAAGGAAGCAACAGGAGGGAGTAATGCTCCTGTAACAGTTCAGTTACATCAACAGCTTTGAGCAAAGTCCTGCACAATTTACTAACTTTACCTGTCCTACCTGTATCAAAATCTACCGTATTTTTATTGGAAAAAGAGGTTGCTTACACTTGTGTTTGTTTTAACAAAAAAAAAAAGTCTGTAGAGTGCTTCGTACTCAGTTTGGAAAATGGAAGTAATAAATTGAGGGTTTCTCACAGGCTAGTTACGAACCCCATCCAGAAATAACACACAGCTAAGCTCACAGGGAGCACTCCCCTTGTAAAACTGCAGGCACAAGCACCAAGCGCAGTACCAGACAGTGGCAAAAAAACTTTCCAAATGGCGGAAGGATGATGCAGGAGATATGTGCTGAACTCACAGAAGCTCTGAATCAGATTTGGTGTCAGAATTAAAAAAGGAGAGAAGAGGGAGGAGGATATTTTCCCTTCACGCTTTTCCAGACTTCCTCCTCTAAGCTGTGGACGTCCAAGTTTAGTGCGGATATTGGTCCCTTTGCAAATGGCATCCTGCTGTAGATCTGCAAGGTTAAAGTCTGGTTCCCTTCATTTAAGGGCAGATTGTTGTACATGTTCTAGAAAAGTAGAGAACTAACAAAGAAGCCACAGCTCAATCATTTATAAATCCCGACATAACTTCTACTGTGGTTCTTATTTATGAGAAATGGAGCTCTTGCCATTTCATGATCTAGCCTCTGCACACATGGTCGTACAAAGTAGAACCTGAGCAGGGCAGCGTTTTAAACCAGAGTTTGTTAATCACAGAATCATTAAGACCTTTAAGATCATCAGCGCTTTTAACCCGTAAAACTGTTAAAACTTCATAAAGCTGTTACCTCTGCTTTCACAGGAAAAATGAGTTAAGTCCCTAGCGGTAGCTGACTGTATACAGCAAGCCTAGAAATTCCTCATCATTAGCAAGGAAATTATTGTAACACGAGACAAATATCTGTAGTGATAATTGGTGCCGGTTCTCTGAGTAGCCTTAACCTATGCCGGGAGCAAAGCCAGGTCCACCCAGGGCTGAGCCGAAGGTGCCTCAGCGCGATGGGGGTTTGGCTGGTCGGGTACTCGGTCACCTCGTAGCTGGCCAGATTTATTGATCTAGGCCTGGTTAGTCAAGCCCCTTACGGCCCGAGAACAGAGAGACGCCTTGGCCGGGCCTGAGCTGTGCCAAAGAGAGCTAAACCGGAGGAAAGGGAAGGAGAGAAAGGGAGCGGACGCCGCGGTCGTTGCCGCCTCAGCTTGCGAGGAAGGCCCCAGGGCCGCGGCACCGCTCCGGCCCCTCTCGCC